TTGCTCTTTTCTGCCCAGTATTTAACAAATACTACATTTCCAGATGATATTGAAAAAAGTGCTGATGATTTGACAGGCAGCGAGGAAAACATCCACCAGGACTCACTTACTGTGGTATCAAGCAGCCACATCTAATGTCTTCTTGGCATTTTTATAGAAGACTTGGGACAGGTGGGGCTGGGGGTTTTGAATCAATTGCTCCGAGCCTTAGAGTAGCTGCAAATGCTTTGTGTCTTCAATAGATGGATCTAGAGGATCAGTTGGGCAAGTTAAGTGCCTCTTTGGTTCATCTGTGCCTAGATCTAGGTTTCCCCCTTCCTTCGTTCCCAGGATCTATCAACCTCTACTGATATTCTTGTTTTCCTATTGTATTGTCAACCCTAAAAGCTAGACCAGACTAAAAACCCAATGCTATATTCTTTAGATCAGCATTACTTTTATTTTAACTTAGCTATAGCAAGACTCTTAAAATTCTGAATGTGTTTCTCCCCTCCTTCTCTTCATGTGAAGTAGGGAGAGCCTTGTATAAGATGTTTTCTCAAGATGCTTCCTTGGCCATGGCTCAAATCCCTCTTATCTAATCATTGCCTTGGTAGGGGCTCTTCTTCCTGTCCTTCAAGGCTATTCCCTCTGCCCTTTCCATATATTGGCTGCTAGAAAGTAGTATGTGACAAATTTCATCCTTGCTGGGAATTGTCAGATTGCCTCTTCAGGATTGGTATAACAAAAATCCCTATATAGGATATACACTATATTAAAATAGGGAAATTTCCCTCTCTAAAAGGATGATTCATGTAACCTTGAAGTTGTATCACGTGTCAGAATGGTACACCTTAAGCCATGACCCCATGAATTTGTGTAAAGGCTCATACATGGGGACATGACTTAATGTATCACCTTCTTTGCAAAATTGAAGGAATATACCATTCTGATAGATTCTTGCTTTTGTAAAGCTCTGATTCTTCCCCTTTCCTTAAAAGTTTCTAGTACCACAGTCCATACTATTGAAAATGAAGCAGAATTGGGTGTTTATGGGGGAGAAAATGGTGATGGTGATGAAATACATCCTGAACTGAACACTGGAAGATTTTCTAAATATGAAAAATATGTGTTAGGAAGAAAGGCTGTGGACTTAATTCAAGAGAGATAGCAATAACAATAGCAATAGCACTTCAATTTATACTGCTGCATAGCGCTTTACAGCCCTCTCTAAGCGGTTTACAGAGTCGGCATATTGCCCCCAACAATCTGGGTCCTCATTTTATCAACCTCAGAAGGATGGAAGGCTGAGTCAAACTTGAACAGGTCAGGATTGAACTGCTGGCAGCTGGCAGAGTTAGCCTGCAATACTGCATTCTAACCACTGCGCCATCACCGCTCTGAAATATCCTAACAGAAGAATTGGGGGAGTGTGTCAATGATCTGAAAAATGGATATTATAGAAGAGGAAGATTTCAGGGGAAAGAGATAATGGTGAGTCATGTCAAACATGGGACAAATCAACTTGGTGATATTCTATTTGCCATACAAAGCAACATCTAACTATGCTATAAATAAAAATGTAAATGAAATGCACTGATTTTAATACAAAAGTCATGGATTGCATTATTGCATATTTAAATGATTGGGGCATCAAAATACATTATTTGGGCTAGAACTTGTGTGTCCCTTCAGGTTTCATCATCTGGAAAAAGAGTTCCTTGATTTAAAAAAAATCAACCTATGAATAGAAAGTCCCAACATTTTCTTTCTCGTTATTTCTTCCTAAGGAAAGATTTCCACCTGCTGGTTATAAGATGAAATTGTAAATTGTTGCTTTATCCTTGGAGAAATTAGAAGAGTTTACAGAAATATTTGTCTCTGAAGCAGTAAGTTGGGAGGGGTGAGGTAAGCCAGGGCAGCAGCTTCGTCTGAAGTTCCTGTTGCAAAGAAAATGTATTATATTGTACCCCCAAAATACAAAACAAAGCGAACAGGATGGAGTGACAAGGGAGCTATTTCAGGCTTCAGTCAGTGGATATCTGGAAAATCGTGACAGTGGTTCTGCTTATTTAACTTATTTAATGGTTCTTGTATTACTTTGTCAAGATTATCTTCGTAATTTTATACTCAGGGTTGTGTGTTACTTTGGCCTTCCTTGAAGCCCTGGCCCTTTCCCCAGGCCTTGGGATGAGGAATAGTTTTCTTTGGCAGGCTCCTACAAAGACGAGGGGGTCAAACTATTTTCCAAAGCACCAAAGATGAGAAACAATGGGTGGAAATTAACCAAGGGGAGAAACTCCCTAGAACTAAGAGAAATTTCCTAATGGTGAGAGCATTCAATCAATGGAACAGCTTGCCTTCAGAAGTTGTGGGTGCTCCATCACTGGAGGCTTTCAAAAAGAGACTGGATAGCCACTTGTCTGGAATGGTATAGGACAGTGATGGTGAACCTTTTAGAGACTGAGTGCCCCAAAACCGCCCCCCCACCTGCCCCGTGCCCCACCCGCCCGCAGGGCCACTCACCACCTCCATGGCCCACTATAGCAGATCACCCAGGCGGCCCTGCAGCATCATGGCAGCCATGCCCTCTGCCCGCACCCCACAGCATCATCTGCACGCAATGGGGCACAAGGGTGGAGTCTTGTCCCTACTGCCCAGCTGCCAGGTCCTTGGCTGCGCTGCTTCATGCGGGCTGCACCCGATGGTGATTCTCCTTTAGGGGGGGCTGCTGGTGAGGAGGGAGCCGTGTGGGGAGCCAGGGCTGGGGCGATGGCGCACGTGCCCACAGAGAGGGCTCTGAGTGCTGCCTCTGGCACGCGTGCCATAGGTTCGCCACCAATGGTATAGGATCTCTTGCTTGAACAGAGGATTGGACTAGAAGACCTTCAAGGTCCCTTCCAACTCTATTGTTGTATGTTCTATGTTCTATAGTTGTCTTGTATTAACTTTGTGAGTTTTTATTTGTTTTGTTAGGTCATGCCATCTAGCAGATTTTGTTTAATTGCTTGAGTAAACCAATCAAATCTGATTGATTTGGGCAGCTCTGTAAATCTGATAAAATAAATAAATATAGAAAATGACGGGAGGCCTTTCAAATCGCTGCCAAGATTAAGCTTTTATGACTAACAAACTAGAATCAGAGTAGACGAGATTTGTGGAAGTCAAACTGGTTGGACAAGAAAAGAAAGGTATTAGCATGTTTTCTATCCCCTCCCTACCTAAAAAGAGGAGACAAAACAGTTATCTGAGCGAGAATGGCTTGAAGAATGAGATTTTAGATTCTATCAGGAGCAATAGCACTTTGGAGAATTGATGTGGAAGCAAGAAGTGGAGTGACTATCTGAAGCATGAAAACTGAGTATCTTTATTGGGTTCAATCTATATATTTTATACACAAGCACAAACATTTCAAAGTGCCAATAAGTGGCAGAAAGACTGATAGAGCCTGGGGGAAAGGTGAAAAGAAGGATCAACCTAGAATCACTTGTTGTTGTTGTTAGTTGCGAAGTCGTGTCCGACCCATCGCGACCCCATGGACAACGTTCCTCCAGGTCTTCCTGTCCTCTACCATCTTCTGAGTCCATTTAAGCTCACGCCTACTGCTTCAGTGACTCCATCCAGCCTCCTCATTCTCTGTCGTCCCCTTCTTCTATTGCCCTCAATCTTTCCCAGCATCAGGCTCTTCTCCAGTGAGTCCTTCCTTCTCATTAGGTGGCCAAAGTACTTGAGTTTCAACTTCAGGATCTGGCCTTCTAAAGAGCAGTCAGGGTTGATCTCCTCTAGGACTGACTGGTTTGATCCCCTTGCAGTAAAAGGGACTCGCAGAGGTCTTCTCCAGCACCATAGTTCAAAGGCCTCAATTCTTTGGCGCTCAGCCTTTCTTATGGTCCAACTTTCACAGCCATGCATTGTAACTGGGAAAACCATGGCCTTGACTATACGTACTTTTGTTGGCAGGGTGATGTCTTTGCTTTTTAGTATGCTGTCTAGATTTGCCATCCCCAGGAGCAAGCGTCTTTTAATTTCTTGGCTGCAGTCCCCATCTGCAGTGATCTTGGAGCCCAGGAAGATAAAATCTGTCACTACCTCCATTTCTTCCCCATCTATTTGCCAGGAATTGAGAGGGCCGGATGCCATGATCTTGGTTTTCTTAATGTTGAGTTTCAAGCCAACTTTTGCACTCTCCTTCTTCACCTGCATCAAGAGGCTCTTTCGTTCCTCTTCACTTTCAGCCATTAGAGAATCACTATGTAGGCATACATGAACTAAGTCCTACCCTCCTTGATTGCCGTTGACCCTTATCTAACTCTAACCAAGTGCTGACAGTTCATTGAGAAGATTCCTGTGCATAGGCTTTTAGCAATAAATAGACTGAACTTTCATGTGTGAACCTGGTCTTTCATGCCTGACAATAAGCTTCCATTGAATGTCTTCCGAAAGAAATCACACCAGGGTACATAATATATTTTTGGAATGCTTGACGGTTAGAAGAAATGGGATGTGTGTTATAACAGATGGGTACTATGAAGATTTTGGGGTTCTCCATTTTTAAAATGCAGTGAAACTCTGATTTACTAAGCCTTGATTCAACAGGTTTTGCATGTAATAGACCAAATTTAGGTGCTGTATTTATATACACAAACACACACACATATCATGATATCATTACACAAATTATATAACTGACATGTTTTGTATCTAGGTACTCATTCATATAAAGACATCATTATTTTCTTAATTATGCCATCATGGCAATTGTCATAAATGAATATGAATGATGTAATTTGTGTTGTTTGTATCATACCACTAGTTTGCATTTTTAATTCAGCAACAGTCTTCATTAGCACATGTTTATCCAAGTCAGTTTCAGAGCTAATGGTTGCATTTACACAAATAGCAAATCTTAGTTTCGTTATAATCCTGGTTGTTTTGGTGGCCAGGATGGTGTACTCAAAATTGGCAGCTAGGTTTCATGCCATTTTGAAGCACAAAAATACAACAAAATTGCAATGGAAGATTAAAATAGAATTAAAACCAAATAAAACAAACCAAAGATAAATCCAAAAACTGTGCTTTGTCCAACCTCAGCATCCACTCCCAAATTCCTGATCCTGCCAGTCTTTGCTTCAGCTGAAATATTAAATGTGGCTCCCAAGAATGAAACAATATCCATCACTGTCTTAGGTTACATATATCTTCACCTCCAAAAGTTCTTTTTGAAGGGTTTGCTCCTGTATCTGTGAAGTCTAGAATGATCATATAGCACTTCCAAAAGCATTAGTTCAACTGGAAGTATACGCCTATAGTTCTTCAGAACTCGTTACTTATATGTCAGAGTAGCAGTGAAAAGACTAGGGTCCCACACGTAGAAAAAACTGACCTTCTTTTTTGTTAACCTCATTTGAGACCAGCAGGGTGATGTGAACTCTGAGTTCAAAATCCCAGGGATTGAAGGCTGAGTCATTTGAAATTCACTATCCCAGATTGTTAGGCAAAATAAAAAAGAAAAAATCCGTTTGATAAGACCACAGTTCACTCTGGTGCCAAATTTCGTTTTATGCTACTCTATCCTCTTAGGGACGCAGCCCTCCATTTCCAGAACTTCAGGCCAGCCATCATACTTGTTTGTCTCCTTATCATTTTTCAAATACTGTAAAAGAAAAAAAGAGAGGCAAAATTAGGCATTTGCTTTGGATAGTTATATTTTTCAACAGATAGGAATATGGATTCCACAAAAATCAAAGCTCAATAGCTGGTAGATATTTCTTCCTAAGTCAGTGATGGCGAACCTTTTAGAGACCGAGTGCCCAAAAACTGGCCCCGCCCCTGCTCCACCCCCTACCCCGCCCCTACCCTGCCTGCCTGCAGGGCCACTCACCGCCTCCAGGACCCGCCTCAGATCGCCCACGTAGCCCAGCAGTGCCATGGCGGCCATGCCCTCTGCCCGTGCCCCGCAGCATCAACTGTGTGTGATGGGGCATGAGGGCAGTCTTGTCTATGCTGCCTGGCTGCCATGTCCTTGGCTGTGCTGCTCCATGTGGGCCACATTCGGGGGGCGACTCTCCTCCAGGGGGGTGCTGGTGAGGAGGGGATCGTGGGGGGAGTCGAAGCTGGGGCAATGGCACGTGTGCCCACAGAGAGGGCTCTGAGTGCCCCCTCTGGCACGCGTGCCATAGGTTCGCCACCACTGTCCTAAGTATTACAGGACTGATTTTTATTTGGAGATTTAGAAATTGCATTTGTGTGATATAGCCTCATGCTACAGATGAGGCTATATAATAAACATACAGATATGTTTATTCAGGTCTCTTCTTTTTAGATCAGCGGTGTCAAACTGCTGACCCACGGGCCGGACACGTCATCAGGAAACCATGCCCACCCCATTGCCGGCAATGGTGAAAAAGCTCTGATACATTGTGTGACGTCACATGATGTTGCGAGTTTGACATGTCTGTTTTAGATGTTAAAGCATCAAATGGTGACTTATAGCAAGATTCTACATGCATTAATTTAATAGTATCTGGTCTTTTCTGAGCAGTGGACGGAGTCCATATGGTCATTTCCAGCCTAGGTTTCCTCCTATGCCTTGGGAAGAACTAGTCCTCGACTTATGACTGGTAGTTTAGCAACTGTTCAAAGTTATGACAAATCTCCCCAGAGCTACTCAGGATCTAGTTTCAAAGTTCTGACAGCTGCCCCCCCTGCGGTGACATGATTGCATTTTGGGCTCATGGCAACTGGTCTTCATTTACTACTGTTTGCAGTATCGCACAATCGTATGGTTGCGAGTTACAAGATTATTTTTTTTGCCAGAAATCAACAAAAGGTCCATTGGATACAATGGGTTTGCTTAACTACCTCAGCATTTGCTTAATGATTGCCCCAAAAAAGGTTGTCATGAAGTGTGGCTGCTTAATCACTGCCATTATTTATGACTGTAAGTCCAATACTGTATCTACGGCAGGGGTGTCAAACTTGCGATGTCACGTGATGTCACAGAGCGTATCGGGCCGATTTTGCCATTGCCGGCAATGGGGTGGGCACGGCTTCCGGATGACGCGTCAGTTTGACACCCCTGATCTACAGTATTGAAGATTTTTGAATGATACTAGCCTGGTCAGTTTTGTATATGTGTGTCAAAAAATGGGAGAAGAGGGGAAGAATCATGAGCTATCATTCATTTCTAACTTTTAAAATAAGGTTTAAATACTTCACATTTAAATAAAAATTGCCAAAAGGAAGCTGAGAAACACATCTATTCCCACTAAATTCCATGTACATTTTGTGGGTGTTTGCAAGCAATCTACTGCTTTGTTGGCAAATGTGTCCATGATATGCATCTTCTTCATTGGGGGTACTATTTTCTGATATTCTTTTTTTTTTAAAAATTAAGCATAATTCTGTTTACTCTGGAAGACCTTTACAGGGGCCTTTCTTTCTGCCAGTATTAAATTCTGTTTTGATGGAGATTTGTTTTTCCCCCCCCTTTTCTTTTATCTCCAGAGTAACATGGGAAACATATAGGACAGCAGAGTCCTATAAAGAAAGAAAGAAACTAAACATTTAAATACTTCTTTAAAAGCTTTGTTAGATTTTACATTGTATGAAATAGGATTTCACCCCTGAGCAGAGAGACACTCATACACGGCCTGTGCTAAGCCTCCCAGGGCCTTCTCGATCCCTTGAGGCACCTTGCCCTCCTTACTTTTCTGTACTACTGTACTTCTCCACTCAGGGGCTGCTTCCCTCTCTGGGGGCTGATTGAAAGAGTTACCTGCTGAAGGATTTCAGCCCTTGGCCTCCTTGGAGTTCTGAAATCCCTTTGGTAGGATTTGAAATACTTTAGTAGGCAGCTCTTTCAGCCATCCTCCAGAGATGACAGCAGCCTGCAACTTTCCCTGCAGGTTTCTCAATTCTGGGCCAGTTGGCAGAGAAGATTGCCAATGGTGATCACATGATCACGGGGCGCTTGGCAACTTATAAGTTGTAAGAGCAACAGGTTGCTAAGAACCCAGATTACAATCGCGTGACTGGGAGGTGGTGGTGTGGCATTGTGTGATGCTCAGGTGCTTTGCAGGATGTAAATTATCCTTTCTAAGGCCATTATTAATTCTAACCATTGTTAACTGAATGCTCCTCTTGAGGAGCACCCGGAGGCTTCAACTGGTCCAGAATGCGGCCGCGCGGGCGGTGTTGGGAGGGACTCGTCGCTCCCATGTAACGCCGCTGCTGCGCGAGCTGCACTGGTTGCCGGTGGCCTTCCGGGTGCGCTTCAAGGTGTTGGTTATCATCTTTAAAGCGCTCCATGGCATTGGACCTGGATATCTCCGAGACCGCCTTCTGCCGCAGGTTGCCTCCCATCGGCCGGTACGCTCCCACAGAGTGGGTCTCCTCAGGGTGCTGTCAGCCAGACAGTGCCGGCTGGCGACCCCCAGGGGGAGGGCCTTCTCGGTGGGAGCCCCCACCCTCTGGAACAAACTACCCCCAGAGATCCGGGTGATCCCGGATCTCCCCTCCTTCCGCCGCGCCCTAAAGACATGGCTTTTTCAACAAGCGGGTCTGGCCTAGGGAATTTTAGTGGGGTTTTTAAGGGTAATTTTANATTATTATTATTATTATTATTATCATAAGTCAAAGGTTACCTGCAGAGATAAAGACAGAGATAGAGGAAGAGCAATACAGAAATGTTAGCTTCTAATAGAAAGAGAAAAGCAAGCAAACCAGCCACAGGGCAATACTGCTCAAAATCTTAATTCCAGAGGTGTGAAGGAATGTGGGCTGGATTCAGAGAAGCAGAAGAATAAAAAGTAAAAGAGTTATAAAAAAATATCTGAGTCCTAGGAAAGTAGAAAGTATAAGAAAGGAACTTGAAACAACTCACCTTGATTGTGCTAGGTATAAATTGAAGTAGAGAGAAGCTTGGGCAGATTCTGCTAACCACATGAAAGCATATCCCAAGATACTTCAGCAACTCCTGGTTCTTACCTTTGCCTAAATCTTAGGGCTGTCATGGGAACTGACCAGATTAGCCCAGTTTCAGAAGCTGACATTAACGGGGGATTTCCTTTTTTGCCAAGAGAGGGAATTTCCTTCCCTGCTGTAGTCCTGATAGTCAATGGATTGGAGGGGGGCTTAGGATTTTTCTGATTCTGCCTTTTCCTTAAGTAACCAAATAAGAAACCATCTCTGCATGCGTCACTTGGCATTATAGTACCCAGCTACTGTTACCACAACACACCTGTTCAAATGGACTTTTGCTTTTGAGTCCACTCCCACCAAGGAATATCCAGTTGTCTCGAAAAGCCATCTGGGAAACATACTTGCTTCCTAAGTCAGAAAATAACTTCCGGGCTTCATCGTCTAGCCTGAGAGACAGAAAATTATTTTGTCATGTTTTTTTTTCTTCTTTAACACGCCATTGAATGCACAGCAAAAAAAAAAAAAACTTTCCACAGAAGTGTAGATATGTCTAAAGTTCAAATAAAGCAATGGGAGGAGTATAACAGCACCAGAATTAATAAACTGATCAGTTCAGCATTTCATAAGTCAGCCTTTCAGAAGACAGAAGATGGCAGAAAATCTATCTATACAAAGCTCATTCAGACTGCAGTTAGTCTCTTCTTACTCTGTGTCGACCAAATCTGTTGCATAAAATATTTTCTCTTTTAGCTATTACCATTCATCCATGCAACAGCTCTGTGGCTTTTTAAAAAGTTATATTGTTATATTAATGTCCTGTTAAGACCCTGGAATCATATTTCATAATGCAACCCTTCTTTGCTTTATCAAAACAGGATATTCGAGCCTGTTACTCCAGAGGTCAGGCAAATAATATAAATTCTCTCAGTTTCCTTCAACTGTGTTAGGAAGTACAGAATCTCTAACTACTTCAAAAGGGCAATTTATGAAATGTATTCCATAACTTGCATGTTAATTGAAAATAATGTGATTAACAAATAAAATAACATAGTGAATAAGTTCTCTCATAATATAACCGTGGGGCTGTATTCATCTTAGTTGCACTCATTTTATCCCATACTCAATACTCAAGGGAATTCTAGACCAGGGGTCCCCAACCCCCAGTTTGTGGACTGGTGTAGGGCTGTGGCATGCCAGAAACCGGGCTGCACAAACAAGCGAAGTCCCATCCACGGGATGCAGGCAGCACATGAAACCACACACCCCTCTGGGCCACAGAAAAACCTCTTTCCAAGGAACCAGTCCCTGGTGCCCAAAAGGTTGGGGGCCACTGCTGTTCTAGACCATCTGTCTTGTTTCCTCTTCGTCTAAAGCAGGATGTTAACAGCTGAGAACTTATGTTACTGCTCTTAGTGTACTTTGGCAGGAGATGAGAAGAGCAGCATCATACTGAGGGCCATGTAATGCTTACATCACTAACAGGAACTTTTAAATGTGGATCTCCTTAAGCGTTATTTCTATGTCAACAAATTACACCACAAGACTAATAAAATGAAAGAAAGTACTTCCGTAGTTTACTTACTTTGTTGCTGGGTCATCATAAGAGGCAAGGAGCACAAGGGTGCCTTTCTTAATCCCTTTCATAAAATCCAGCAAATTTTTAATATCTTACGAAGAAACCGAGAAAAAAAGTTTGTGAGTTACTTATTGTGAACTTCTGAGATATAGAAAATATACCTAACAAAGGAGATCACAGTGTTTCTTAACAAATAATGTAACACTCCCCCCAATAAAGCAACCAAATGTTATAGGTCAGCTTGTGCTTTCCAGATGTTGGCTGCGCTCTAGAAACTGCATCTGGAGAAGGGTTCAGTATGCAAAAATAATCCCATAGACTGATCCAACCTGTTTTGCTTTGTTTGAATCCCTGTGAGATAGGAACAATAGACTACAATGTAAATAGGTACAATAGACTACAATGGAAATAGATACAGTAGATTACAATAACTATAGAAATCTAATCTTTGAACTGCAGAAGAAGTATAATTAATATTTTCTGGACCGGGACGCCTTGCGCACAGTCACTCAAGCTCTCGTCACCTCCCGCCTGGACTACTGTAATGCTCTCTACATGGGACTCCCTTTGAGGAGCACCCGGAGACTCCAACTGGTCCAGAATGCGGCCGCGCGGGCGGTGATGGGAGGGACTCGTCGCTCCCATGTAACACCGCTCTTGCGCGAGCTGCACTGG